GGACTTTCATTACTTGAAGGTATCGGAAACCCTTGAGCTAAAAGTGATTCCCTCTGCCTTTCAAATTCGATTTGGTGGATGTAAAGGCGTTGTATCACAGGACCCATCTCTAAGTCAACAAAGCAGTGTACTTGTTATTCGGGAGAGCATGAATAAGTTCCAATCAGAGTCCAAAAATCTTGAAATTTTGCAGGTTACAAAACCAGGTATGTCTGCAGAATTCTACCAAGTAACTATAAACTATGTTTGATGCTGACATAATTTTTCTCTTTTTTTTTATCTCTTAATATTTTTCTTCTCAGGGAGACTCTATTTAAACAGACAAGTAATAACTCTTCTCTCTGGGCTGGGTGTCCCTGATAGCGTTTTCTTGTCACTTCAAGAAGAGATGCTATATAATTTGGCAGATATGATGATTTATGACAAAGAAGCACTGAATGCCTTGTCAGCTGTATGTATTCAAAAAATAATTTGTTTCAACCATTTTATGTTAGACAACTAGAAAATCAATTTATTTGCATTGAATTTATTCTTTTTCAGTTATCTATTGACATCAAATTTAAAAACCTTCAGAAAGGAGGAATTGTATTCATCAAAGAGCCATTTTTCCGTTCACTGTTGATAACAGTTTATAAAAGCAAACTTCGAGATTTGCTCCGACGGGCTAGGATTCAGCTGCCGTATGAAAAGGGTCGTATAATGATGGGAACATTGGATGAAACCGGGACGTTAGAATATGGGCAAGTTTTTATTCAATATTCAAAAGATCCTGGAAAACAACAGATTGATTCAGTTGTTCATAGAGGAAAGGCCGTGGTTACTAAAAACCCATGTTTTCATCCAGGAGATCTTAGGAAATATGAAGCTGTAGATGTTCCGGCTTTACATCATATGTGTGACTGTATTGTTTTTCCTCAAAAAGGTTATCGTCCACATCCTGATGAAATGACGGGGTCTGATCTAGACGGCGATATGTATTTCGTGAGTTGGGACGACCAATTTTGCAATGCAATTGAAAACAAGGAACCTATGGAATTTCTTAAAACCAAAAAAGAAAAATTATATAGAGATGTTATGGTTGATGATATGATAGATTTTGTTGGCGAATATATAAAAAATGATAACCTTGGCATTATTGCAAATGCACACGTTGTACATGCAGACAGAGAAAACATCTTCACGGAAGCCTGCAAACAGCTTGCTAAAATGCATTCTGATGCTGTAGATTTTCCAAAGACGGGGATACCTGCTAAAATGATCCGAGATCTAAGGGTTGATAAATATCCTGATTTCATGCAGAAAGTTGATAAACCTCAGTACATGTCCAATAAAGTTCTTGGAAAGTTGTTTCGTCAATGTCGTGCACTTGAACAAGCACAAACGAGAAGGGAAGGCCATCAGAAAATTATTAAGAATGTAGGACTTGATAAGGAATTGATCTTACATGGATGGGAAAAATATGAAGTTGATGCAGTTAATGCTAGAAACCAGTACAACGATAAGCTCAGACAATTATTGACTTTGTATGGTATAGAAAATGAGACAGAAGCTATTTCTGGTATTATAAGGAGATTGAATCCCAAAAGAGGATGTTTAAACAACGAAAAATTTGAAATAGGTCAGATAGTGAAGGCTAAAATGTCAGTTGTCAGAGGGAAAGCAAGAGAACAGTTTTTCCAGGAATTTGGAGGTGAAACAAACGTAGATTTATTAAATATAGGGAAAGAAGTTTTATTAAAAGCATCCGCCTGGTATTGTGTTACGTACAAACAGAGTCCCGAAAACCCAGAACCTTTGCTGAGCTTTCCCTGGGTCATTGCAGACATCTTGACTGTAGTGAAAGGTGATGAAAGCCAAAGAAGAGCAGATTCAAAATCTGATGAGAAGTTTGAAGAAGACTTTATGGGTAATGATAACTTGATTGAAATAGGATCGTCTATTTTTGATAGATTTTACCATACTAAAGAACAAAGACAGATAACTTTGAACAACTTACGACATGTTGCAAAGATTGTGTTAGATCTTCTTGCTCCTATTAAAGGAACATCTTTTTTTCCTGTAGGGTTGTCCTCAATAGGAATGATGGCAACTAATGAAAATACTTTAGATATCCATGTAAATACAAAACAAAAAAGAAAAGTTGTTTTTGACTGGATTCGAAATTTGCTTTACAGAGAGCACATCTATGTAGCTGAGCCTGGTACGAATTCCAGATACCGACTCCTTCTCGGGGACAATGAATATTACATCAAGTTTTCAACAGACGTTTATGCTGTACGGAGATCGACTTTTTTCAAAAGTTTTGTCGAACAAAACAAAGAAATTGTTCCCGTTCTTGTTTTCCTTTTAGATTGGGGAAGAAAAATTTCTCTTGTGAACAAAGATAGTTCAAGAGATAGTTTCGATGAAATGACATTTGCAATGATTATTATCAGTAGTTTTCAGAAAATGAGAAATCTTCCAAAGGACATAACTAAGTTTGACCCAGGGAGTGCAGAGAACAATATATTTACAGAAACAATGTACATTCCAGATATTGGTGATATAACAGCAAGCAGAACCAGATCCTTTGCAAGTATTGTAATGCAGTTTTTCAAAGATTATAGAGCTCTGCTTGCAAATCAGATGAAGAATGGTGTCATTAATTTTATATTGGATCCATCCAGTAAAGATCACAAAAACGAAAACCTATTGAGACGTTCCTTAAGTCAGAGTATTACAACAACGCTGCTAAATGAAATGCTTTGTGGATATCAAGAAATAGCAGAAAAAAATAGCATAAGTTCATTCTTTGGGGATGTTCAAAGCATTGATGATCATCTTGTGGTAAATCTTCCACTTGATACCTGGGGTTCCCTTTTGTTTGCTGAGGCTTATGTTGAAAGACAGCTCTCTAAAGAAACAGGAGCAGTCATTAGAATTCGAAGAACAAATTTTAAAGAAACAAAAGGAATCATTATGGAAGCTTGGGGAAGCTCAGAACAACTCTGGAAACTAAACAATTCGTTGCAAAATCTTACCGAAAAATCATCCAAATTTGTATCTACACTTGCAAGAGATAAAGCATTTATAAAAGGGGCATATGTTACTTTCTATGAAGGATGTACATCGACAAGTGATATCCTAATTTTCCATTTGTACACAGGTCCGATTCAAGAAGAACACAAAAATGGAGGTCTTGCGGTTCTTCCATGCCTGCAAAACGCTTTTAGAATTCGAAGTACTGAACCATCCTTAGAAAATCTAGACGATAATTCTCCAGCTTGTGAAGAATTTCAGCGTATTTTTCTAGAGCAAATAAATGTAGTCAGAGAGGACTATGACGTTACCTACCATGGCATTCTTCGGTTTGCATTGACATTTGGGAAAGTATATCTGGTAGATGTAGACGTAGATCAAATTTCTATTAAGGATTTACATGAAAGTCTCCACCGCAAACAATTCTTCGAAAGAAAAGAATTTCACTCTTCAAATCAAAGGATTCGCGGTCGTGGTAGGGGAAGGGGAAGGGGGAGGGGAAGAGGACATGGAAGAGGATCGAGTTACACAAACCTTAGAGACAATAATTCTGTGCGGCGAAAAATCAGAAGTTCATTTATCCCATCTGATTGTAAGCTAGAGAAAGTAAATGGTTTTCTCGAAGAAACTGGATTCAAAAAGAATGGAAAAGAAAAGAAATATCATGTAAGTCTAAAGACTGGTGAGGCAGACTTTGGAAAGTCACATATAGGATTATGCATCCTTGATCGAGATATGCGTTTCATTGAGTTTCGTCTGTCAGACTTCAAGTGGTTTGCTGGGGATATTATTCGGTTAAAATCCGACGACGATGAAGTCTCCTTAGACGTCCGGTGTAAGTTGCAATCCAGGCGAATCCTTGATGTGGAATCGGTGCGCCAGATGAATGATGTGAAAGGACTTCTTGATGAAACATGTCGTTTGATTGAAAAGAACGGCGATAATCTTTGTGTCTCCCGAGATTTCAAAGACAAGGTTACATTTCTTCGTGAAAAACAAATAAATTCGTACTCCTATCCCGAATTTTCTAATGAAGAGTGGATCTGGGACGATATGAAAATAAACGTAGCAACGGTGAAAGAATATTCCGGATACAACAATGTGTTTGGAACATTTTCCGACACTGTTTGTCGGACAGAGGTCACAATGATACCCAAACTTCCGGATCTGGATTCAAATGACGACGAACTCAAGGCGTATGCCAGAAGAATTTGGAATCTTGCTTTATATTTAGGTCACAAATTTGAGTGAAATAATGTAGTATAAACAATCTAGCTGACCAACAGGTTTATCCTTTGCTGAGTGAAATATTTGAGGCTGATATGATCTATTTAAAGCTACTTTTTAGCGCTAGTATATAGTTTGTTAACCCATGTATGATTGAGAGAGCATTTACGTTTTCCACTGCAGAACTAGACCAGTAACAAAATTTGAAAGAAATAAAGAATTAATTGTAGAATCTATTAACATTTAAGATTTGTGTCCAAAATGTGCTTATAAAGAAACAGAAGACCTCGCAATTGTACAGAGTAGATAGTACGAGTTATTGATCATGTTTTAAAGTTGAATTTAAATATTCTTCATGTGATATCAACAAATCAATGTTAAACTAAAAGAATACTCCACATTAAAACATGAATATTTATTTACAGAAACTTTTTTACATGTTAGTAATCTTTTTAGGGTCAAAATGAAAAAAAAATTGTCCAGGATTCAACAATTTATAAGAATTAATTTCTTCGACGATTTAGGCCATGCAAGTTGGCATTGCTTTTATCAAAGGTGTTTAAGTTTTCAAAACTGTTTTAAGAATTACCATTTGGTGCATATGTGTCAATTTGAAATTGGTATGATTAGCTAACAGTTAATTTTATTTTGTTTGTTTTTTTAGGAGGCTTAGTCGACGCGCGATATTTTCCAAAAAGTTTAAATGTTCCATATTTTGTTAATGGCTAAAAATGGAGAATAGGAAATTATTATATGACTTACTCCGGTATCATATAATATAATTATATAGAAAATTAATTTTTTTTTAGGTATAGAACTTTTTGGAAAATATCGCGCGTCGACTAAGCCTCCTAAAAAAACAAACAAAATAAAATTAACTGTTAGCTAGCCCTCTTAAATAATTTTGTTTGTATTTTCTAATTTATTGTGCATTCATTAACAAATCGTTTTTAATTATATCTAATCCTTATTTTAGTGTCTATTGTTATGTGTTTTGGATCGATATCTATATACATAGGTAATTTATAAACTTGTTTTTATTGATTGAACTTACGAACAAAGTTTAGACATCTTGTGATTTTGTGAGTGAAAAGCGCAGGGTATTTTGTAAATCACAAAATAGTAGCGGTATTTGTTAGGAGTGCACTTGATTCTCTGTTTGAACTCTGCTTGACACGTGATTTGTTTAATTTTTGGATTGAATTAAAAAACACAATCACTACTCGTTATCTTCGCCTTTTTAGTTTTTCGTTTTGTTTTATTTTTTATGTTAATTCGATATTCTATATATGGCAGTAAATATTATGTAGATTCAGGAATTTCACGTATTTTCTTAACCGTTCAGTAAATTTTTACCCTCATAAAAAGCAGTTTTACTATGCATATGTTTAAAATTAATCTGTACACAAAGAGAGAGCAAAAACTAGTAAATAAGCTATCAAAACAGCACTTTTAAAGATTTTTTTACGACTTGAAGTTTACATTTTCCCTAGATTGATTTCTGATTCTGCTATTCAGTGCACTGTCCATTTAAGTAATGTTTTTAAGTCTGTGTGATTCACACACCAATAACTCACACAAAACTTAAAAACATTCCTTATATTTACATTTTACATGTTTGGAAGCACCAAAAATATACTCAAAATTTGAATTTCTCGTTGCCTATATCGTTTTACTTTTTCTAACGTCGCTGTAGCCTAATTGTGACGTCGCTGTAGACTCATTGTGACATCACGTTTGCGCACTTTACTCCGTGTATATTTCTACGCGTGAGTATACTTAAGAAATAAGGTATCATTTTTAAACATCTATCGGGATATAAATACGGGTCGGTCACGAGATTAAATTCCATAAAGCCCGAAGGGCTTTATGATGAATTTCATCTCGTACCTACCCGTATTTATAGCCCGATAGATGTTTTAAAATGATACCTTATTACTTATATTTACATTTGTGACTTATTCATACTTTATATTTGCTTGATTGTGCCTTTTAACGTGTGAAATGCATTATTTTTTCAAACCCAACGGCATGTATGTACTCCACTGAACGCGCGTCGACCCTTTATGACGTCACTGAGAAATTACGTCGAACGTTTATCCATACGCACATCTTGACCTCTTGACCCCGTACCGGTATTTATACAGTTATAGATACGCATTGCTTTCAGTAGTGTTATATAAAGGAAAACATTTGCAAATGTAAATATACGAAAATGGTTTTCAAATCAAGTTTACAGTTTGCTTAGTAGAAAAACACAGCGAATATAAATATTAAAAGTTGAATTCATGCTAATAATTTAAACTACATGCGCATGTATATAAGGTTACAGCATAGAAGTACTGATATTAACTCATATATCGATATAAAGTAAACTTATATTCAAAGATTTTTTTTTTTTACAAATTCCAAGAGAAAAAGCTGTTTTATCTGAAAATAAGATGCTTCGATCAGTACTTTAAATTTGCTGTTAATGAATTCATAGTTAGCACAGTATGCTTTTCCCTTAAATTAGAGAAAGAGAGGTCGGGCAGAAAATGAAGCCATTTTTTAATGTAAAAAACATACTGATGAAAATAACTTTACTTTTATCAATATTTCTCACAAATTATGCTGTTACATGATTCTAGAAAATGAAACAAGAAGCGAAAAATAATTCTGCCCACCCACCCCCACCCCAAAATCATTAAGGGGGGAGGGGGGATCTGATCGAGGTCAATTTTATCTTGCTATACTTTATAAATCTACAAGCACAATTGCTGATGCTTAAGTAAAAATACTATGTATTTCAGTGACAGTTTACTGTTGCTGCTGTTTTCTAAGATGTGTTATAAAGAAAATTAAAGTTTGGGTTTCTTTCTTTTTCGGTCTTTTTTAAGGGGGGTGTCGTTTTATCAGTTCTGTTAATTATGCCATATAATGAATAGCCTTATTTCTAAACCAATAACATCTGAAACAGTATATTACATTTTTATTTTTTAATCCTCTAACTGTTAGTAACAAGCTTTCATCTATAGACTGTTCTAGCCAATATTTTTCAAGAAAGGATTTCCGTCAAATGGACTTTTCATCGGGATCGGAGTTACGAAATTTCTACACCGCCACGTTGATTACTTCCCCCTACGGACACCGGCTTGTGGACTGCTGAGAGAAAGGTACTGTTACTGAATGGCGAGGTATCAGTTTGATGAATTTCTAGCATAATCCGTTTAAAATTTTAAATATGAACACTACATTTGAATTGATATATCAATTACACGAGTCTGTATTTTGACTATTGTAAACTCTAGGCCTATATATAGGCTTCAGTTGGCAGCATACGTGGCGTTCATTATTTTCATTTTAATATTCTAAATGTTCCTTTTATAAATAAAATGAATAAAAGGATACTATGCCTATTACTAAGCCAACTAATTTAATCAGGTGTAATTGAATTGAATTTCATTGTTTTTAAGACGTGTGCACATGCTGTGTTAAAGATGTATAGGGTGAATTTACCATGCACCGGACACCCTTGTACTTCAACAAGTTCTAGCAATATCGCTACCGACGGAAAATTATCAAAATGGAATTTAACATTTAGTTTGTGATTAAATTATTAATTTAGGACACAATTATATGCCGTTTATTGAGAAAATTTCCCAAAAATCGAGTTTTTATGAAAAACTGAGAATTCACCATGGATCGGACATTGTTCACCATGCATCGGACAGACGGTATGGAGACCGGAGAAATATCATACCTTTATCACAGTGCTTTAAAATCCTTGATATGGATATACTTTCATCTTTTATCTAAGAAATAACCCTCAACTTCAATTTAATCGACGATATTATTGCACAAATGTAGAATGATTCTAGAGACTTCACTCTGCCTTAGAAATGCTTTAAGATGCTTATAATGCCGTAATTCGCGCCCTTTTCTCATGGTTTATCATACTCTGGTTTGTAGAAATAAATTGAGTAAAATTTCAGACGTCATATATCGATAACTTGTATTTTGACTGAAAATATAGATTTTTTATTTTCTTTTTCTGCAAAAAACAGCTGTCAGATGGGTTCTGTATGAAAATGGCAGTGCTTATACCTTTGCATCGAAAAGTGTCCGATGCATGGTTAATTTGTGTCCGATGTACGGTGAAATTAGCATACTAGTAAAAACCAGCTCTAATAAGAGTTAAACAAACATTGAAGTGAACTTTCTTTATAATTTATGTAAAATTATGAATCCCTGACAAAATTCACCAAAGTCCGACTCGTTCCGTGGAATTCGAATTTAAAAGAACGATAACTCTAAAAACTGCAAAATCATTAATTTCGGGTTATTCCCCTTTGATGATGTAAAATATGACGTAACTTCAAGGGCATTTGCGGTGTATTTTTATCACAACATGATAAACACAATCGGTATCATTAAAAAATTTAAATCTTCATCTTTATGACAGAAACAAATAAAGACACAGAACTTTTAAGTTTAAAGAGAGTTTATTGCCTAAAGTTGTCCGAAGCAAGGTATGTGTCCGATGCATGGTGAACTCACCCTATTTGTATTTTTTTCTTGCATATGTTCTGCAATATTTGTTTCTGTATTATTTATAAAGATTACAGGTGCAAATGTATATTTATTTTTGGTGGACATACTTTCTACCCTTTATAAAGAACAGAAATTTGGAACTCTGAAATCTCACTATTTCTCATATGGCTAACCATATAAGTTTACTTTTTCTCCAATTTGGCAAATCTCACATCTTGATCATTGAATTAAAATTAAAACATATTTGATTTTAACAATTAAGAATTATGAGGTAAAATCTTTTCATTTAGGTGAAAAAAGTATTGAGAATGTTTTTCTTTTCATAAAAGTTATGTTTCCCAAAGAAGCACAGTTAATAAAAAAGGATAAATCAGAAATACTCACCGATCAATGGTTCAACATATCTTTAAAATTTTTCTTCTTACAAATCATTGATCAAACTAATATGTCTATAGTGTGCTTTTAATAATGAATCCATAGTTTCAAACTTTAAAAATCATAAAAATATACACATACATAAAAATTTAAACTTAAACATATATCTTAAAAATATTGAGCAAAAAAAAAATATTGTACTTTATTTTATTTATTGATGTACCATATATTAACACCCCCTCCCCCTGCATAATCCATTAGTGTATTATTATGCTTAACACAAGTTCTCAAAAAGCACAAAAAAAGTATACTTTTTTTGACTCAATTTGGAACGACCAAATCTCTCGTTCCAAATTGAGTCGAAAAAAGTATACTTTTTTTGACCTTTTTTTGTACTTTTTTTCTGTACTTAATTTGTACTTAATTTCGGTATGGGATACGGTTTAAACATATAAACGTGAACTAAAATATTTGATATGTACATGATCTGTATGGGCCATTTCAAGCCTGAACTTTTGGACAGGTTGAAACAAAATATTTGGTAATAAACATAAACTTTTTTGTTTGGCAGATGAAGCTGTGGATTATAGCTGTGCTGATCAGTTTTGCTGGTAACAGTTTATCAGAAGAAGACAATGCTGCAAGACTTTTGGCCTCTAAAACAGTTTTAAACCAGTATCTAGTAGAAGGCAGAGATTTAACTGTAGAATATACCATCTATAATATTGGAGGAAGGTAAGCAGTTCTTAATCTTTTAAAAAGGATTTATTTTAAAACATGTCTCTTCTTTAATTGTAAAGAAAATGAACATGTGCTAGAAATATATGTCCATTTTTAAAGCATTTATTTCCTAAAATTGTCACACAGTAGGCCAAGGGCAAGAATTTTCACAACTTCCTTCATACTGTATGCAATTTGCCTCAAAAAAAAACTTTGGCAGTGCTTATTGTGCAAATACTTATTGTAGCCTTTGGACACATGTAAATTAGAAGATTAATTTGGATATAAAATTGTATGCTTGGTGTTTAATCTACTGACAAATCACATTGTTTTGTATTGTTTTCAGTGCTGCTCTGAATGTTAACTTAAAAGAGGAGGGTTTCCCTGAACAAGACTTTGGGGTTGTCAAAGGCAGCTTAAAAGTGAAATGGGAAAGAATAGCTCCGTATCCTTTTGTAACAATTTTTTAACATTTTCTGAGCTTATAGAGACGATTATTATTCCCAAAGCAAATAATTAGTCACCAAACAATTTTTTTTAGGTGCCAGTTTATACAATGATGCACATTGAAGTGGTAAAATTTTCCGTTTGGATGGAACATTTTGAGCTATCTTTAGACATGCCCATTTCTTTAGAAAGGAAAAATCGGTCAAATGATTCAATCGAATATCTGTGGAACAGGTATTCCATAAATACAATAGCCAATGAAATTGGTGGCCTACATAAACACCGAGAAAGCACATGTTCGACTGATACATGTGCTATGCTAACTCCAATAACCATGATAAAATCATAATTATGTAAAATTCGCAGCAATGCCTGTTTTACATAAGCGGGAACTCTATATATAGCTCTTTCTGATTTAAAAATCTTCATTTCAGTGTACAATAACTGATGTTGCTTGTCGCGGAAAATGGGGTGTCCTAAAACATTACGAAGAATACTTCTTTCTCGTTTCTAAAGAAAAATGGGCGTGTCGTTATGTTATAATTGACGTTCAAAAGATTTTAGGCTATCTTAAAAGTAAGATAAAAAAAATTTGTTTGGTCAGGTGTGATTATTATGTGTATATTTTTATCCCCCATTTTTTAGTACAAATGAGTACATTGTATTTCAATATACTTTATGATAGGAACTTGTCTTGAATAAAGCGCTGTTTATTCCTTAATGTCCTCAGTGGCACTAACGTGTCCCATGCCGTTGTTCTCCGTCCATTACAGTTTGGCTACTTCAACTTTACTGCAGCTGAGGTCTCTTACAAACCCAACGAAAATGCTGCAACTGAAGTGGTATGTACTATTAAAAAACTGTAAAAATAATGAAAAATGAACTGATGATAGTAGTGATGGATATCAGTAAGAAATTCATAATTGCTGATTGGGTTACTGTTACTAATTATTGATTATAATCGGACATTTTAAAAGTCTTATCAATTTAGATAAGTACATGTAAATGGCAAGAATGGATAAATGACTACTTTCTATGTTGGTCCAGCTGGTCCTTTGTTCATTTTATAGAACCAAAAGTACATTGTATGTCCATACCTGGGTGTGAATATCATTGTCTCTTTATCTACACCATTTTGATACACAAAAAAGGTGTATAAGTGAAAATTTAGCTTCGACTATTATGCTTGTGAAATGAATAATTAACAGATTAATCAGAATGAGATTTTATTCCAGCACTTGGATTAAGTCAGCAATCGACTGATTTTTTATTTTTTTTGGTTATAATAGATTATTGGAACACCATTAGATGATAGAATTGTGATGCACTGGCACAATGATTTTGTATTCAGTCATAAGATTGAGAAAATAGTCAGTTTGACCTGAAGAAGAAAATCATTAAAATTTGATATTTTTGCATTATCAAAATATTTCTTAACACCTCAATTTTTTTTAAATACCAGTACTATTAAAAGTTGTTTAATCCAACTCTCGTGTAATGTCAGGTATGGACATGGTATACAATGTACTTTGGGTTCTACAAAATGAACAAAGGACCAGCTGGACCTTTTAGGGATCAACTGGAGTATATTGACAAATAGTTCCCTAGAATTTAACAGTATATTCCTGTTGAGCATAATAATAATTGTAAATGGTACTATTTATTATATATGTATTTCAAAACACAGTAATATGTTATTGATTTGATTTTAGATTGGATTCACAAGCGCCCCAGGAGAGGGTGGCATTGTTGGCAGCAAAGACTTTGACAGGAAATTCTCCCCTCATGTTGTAAGTACTGGAATGTAGTCATCTTCCCCTGATTTATAATTCTTTTGATCAAGAATTTATAATCATTAAACTTATAAACTTATTAAATTTACAATGTAATTAAACTAAATTTATAATATAGTTAAAACAGAATTTATGATGTTATTAAATTAAAAAAAGGTCATTAAACCAAAATTTATAATGCACTGTTCTTGGAATATATAATTATATTGAGACGAGGCCGGGAATTTATGTTATTATAAAACTGGAATTTATGAATCCATAAAACTGAAAAATTAATAAACAAGCAGTGTTGACAAAATAATTCAATTTTATTATGATATTTGAAAAATGAAACACAAAGAATAAATCAAATGAAAATTGTGATATACCGGTATTAAAAATAACTTTACCTTTGGATAAGAAATAAATAAAACTATATGTATAATTATGTGTTTAGGTATTTTAATAATGAAAATATATAAATTAAAAGTTAAATACAATACATATGTATAATCAATTTCTTCTGTATCCAAACTTTTGAAAAAACCACTCTTACATGTATATATGACAAAGAAGGGGAAACAAAGATACCAAAGAAAATGTCCAAAAAAACATTTCAATTATAAGTCTGTGTTAGATCATTTTCTTAATATCATTATACCCCCCGCAAACGAAGTTTGGGGGGGGGGGTATAGTGGAATCACCATGTCCGTCTGTCCGTCTGTCTGTCTGTCTGTAGACGAGATTTTGTCCGGACGATTACTCAGAAACTATTGGAAGGATTTGTCTGAAAATTTGTACACATATTATTCACCATATAAAGTTGTGCACCTGAAATTTTTGTCTTGATTCGATTATTATTTTGAATTTTACAGGTGTTTTTTTCATTTTTATTTTGTGGTTTTGTCCGGACCATTTCTCAGAAATTATCGCAAGGATTAATCTGAAAATTTGTACACTTATTATTCACCATATGAAGGTGTGCACCTTGAATTTTCAACTCTTTTTGTTAATTTTTTTGCATTTTACAGGTTTTATTTTTTATTTTAATTGACTTGTTCATTTTTGGCTCATGTATAAGGTTTGAGGCATAGAATCTAGAATATCTGTACAAAAATACTACAGCTTAAAAATACTCATAAAAACTTAAAAAAAAAACATCATTTAGTGTTAAAAACAGTTTTTACATTGCACAGAAGATAATGTAATTTCATTTGTCTCTTGGGAATAATGACTGGACATGCATCCAGTTAAAGATAAATTAATGAGTTTGGTGTTGGAAGTTGTTAAGGCATATCTCTTATCAAGCGTGTGTGTGTTATCTAATCTCCAGGGAATAAGGCACAAGAATTCAAGATCTCTCTTCTCTTATTCTCTTAATTGTAATTTATTGTCTGTCAAAGCATTTCATTACTGGATGACCAGTTCTTTATTTTCAAAATGCATTTCAAATTGATATATCAAGATTAATTTGATTTTGTATAATGGTTTTTTTTCAACAATCAGTTTGCAGAGTGACATAACATATAATTGCAGTATATTTTTTTAATGCAGAAATAAAAAAAGATAAAATGAAAAAAAAAAATTTACAATGGAATTACAATGTATTACATGTAGTATTGATGTTTCATTTGATTGCACCTTTTTTTCATTCATTAAGAAACATAATGACCAATTATATTTCACTGCAAATTTTTGTAAGTAAATTGTGAACACCTCTAGATCCATAAAGTATTTTATTGAATTGGCACCTTCTCTGAAAAACCCAGTGGGGGGTATTTGTCCCTATTGGACAGTTCTAGTTTCTTTTATAAAGAGCAGAGTGTTACTGTAAAGTTAGTGAAGCCAGTGATTTTGTTGCAGGAGGTTGTATTACCAGTATTCCTAACTTGTGCTTTAAGAAATGTTTAAAGTTTTGAACATTTTTTTTTCAGTTGGATTGGTTGGTTTTTGCCATCATGACCCTGCCATCTCTCACCATTCCATTTTTACTCTTCTACAGAAGCAAGAGCAGATACGATACACCCAAGCCGAAAAAGAACTAAATACTTATATTTAAATTTTTTACATTTTTTTTTTTTCAATTTTTCTTTATAATAAATTTTCTGAAAAATTATCTCTTGGGTCAGTTTTCAATTCTATTAGTTAAATCATCCAATAGGAATGATTGAATGTAAGCATGGTTGGTCAAGTGTACTTTGTTCTAAAATATGAAATGTGTACATAGATATTTATAAGAGTTGCCATTCTTACATTAAAGAAAAAGAAAGAAGGATGTACATGTATGTAATATCTGAAAAAGAATTATTTTGAGATTGAACAATACTAGGTTTTGTAACATTCATGTACAAGAAAGAAGAAGGAATACTCTTAAAAATTCTATTGATTAACTTTTACCATGATGCAAATTTGTCTGAATTTGTTTCAACCAGAGAGCTGCAGTTCAGCTACCTGGGGCCATGATTTGAATAATTTATAATCTACACTACCCAACAAAGCTTTCACACAAGATTGGGCTTTTCTTACGCAGTGGTTCTTGAGAAAAAGCCCCAATGCAGAATCCCCAGGGACGTGTTGTCTAAAGTTTGGTTAAATGTGATATAGAAGGATGGACATTGTTTGTTTGTCAAAAAACACTTCGAAAATTTTCCCTTGATCATACTGAGCAACTCCTCTTGCTGGTGGGTTGCTGCAAATCTGGACCTGAACTGGGCACTAATGCGACCTTTAGCAGTGAAGAATCTTTTATTTGCCAACACCTACGGTGACACAAAACCTTGATCTATATGTACACGGTCTTATTCAAAGAAAATAGGTCCAGGGCCCAGAATCATGAAGCATCTTAAGTTTAAGTCAAAATCTTCATGTTATACTTTTAAAAATGTTGTGGAAGTCAAGCAGATCAAAATTTAAATATATTCACAAAATGCTGTAAATTGCAAATTTTGAGATTAATTCAGTAATTAATTAACATTTAACCGCCAATTGAAAATTTGACTAAAAGTCGAAGTCTGTTTCATGATCATGGGGCCAGGTTCCGTAGTGGAATTCGTAATTTAAGGACCATCTCCTTACTCAGCGAATGTAGATCAATTTATAGTTATAGGGATCGATGCGCGCACGTACGTCCGTAATTACACTGATTGCAGTTTAATTAATAAAAGAATTCTGAAACAATTGTGGGTGTAAGTTGTGTTGCCTTTACGAGTTCAAATTTGCCGCTCAATAATACATGTACATCCCTAGTAACGGACTTCTAGATTATTAGGTTAATGTGGGACTTTGCCTTACTTTAAGACAAACATTCGTTGAGGTGAGCTCTGTAATCTCTGATTACCTATGTTTTTAATTAAGTTTTTGGATATTACGGTTAGATAACAAATAATAGAGCTTTTCATAGGCCTACTAAACAAGAAGGTTATAATCGAATAATTTGGCCAAGAATTAGAGTCATCCCTTAATTATCTGGGAAAAATTACCTGTATTACAAACAAGAGCTGATCTGGACCTAGATGATTATCTGGGAACAATTACCTGTATAACAAACAAGAGCTGATCTGGACCAAGAGGATTATCCGGGAAGAATTACCTGCATGAGTTAATCTGGACCTAGAGAATTATCTGGGAACATGTACAATTACCCACATATATAACAAAAAAGAACTGATCTTGACCTAGAGAGTTATCCGGGAAGTAATGATAGACAATTACCTGTATAACAAACAGAACCTAGAGGGTTATCAGGGAAGTAATGGTAGACAATTACCTGTATAACAATTAACAAACGGATTATAAAACAAGATGTGTTTGTGAAACACAATGCGCCCGGCGGCAACAAAGTTCGGAAAAAGCTATTTTTAGCATTAAGGTCACAGTCAAGGTCACAAGGTCATTGACCTTGGTGTAACGTGGAAGAACCTGATCATGATTAGTGGAGTTTGCATACCAAATATGAAGTCTCTTTCTTTCATGGTTCAAAAGTTATGGCGAAGGTTAAAGTTTGCAGAAAAAAGCTATTTTTAGCATATAGGCCACAGTCAAGGTTACAAGGTCATTGACCTTGGTGTCTTTGAAAGAGCTTAATTAGTGAAGTATGCATACCAAATATGAAGTCTCTATCTTTCATGGTTTAAAAGTTATGGTGAAGGTTAAAGTTCGGGACATGTAAGAAAAAGTTAAAAAAGTACTAAGGCGAAAAGGGAAATTTATTATTTGTAAATATTATCACTGGGTTGATATAAAAAATTAAATGATAAAATTTTTTAGATTGAATTTAATAGTTAATGGGAATTCATAAATACAGTGAATGAAATACTACATGTATTATAAAAAAAAAACTTTATGCTAAATATATTAAATCTTCACCTGAGAGCTGACTAAGACGAAATGGGAATGCTAAATTTTACAGTTAAGTCGAGATGGGAACAAATCAAAGCATGTGCCCCTACACCCCCTTAAATCCGCCAGTGGTTATCAGTACTTATTTTCATGTTCGAGTCGACATATGTCCATTACAACCTTACTTATAAGTTGTAACATCAATATCTTAATTTCATAGTATTTATTTTTTTCATGTTATTTTAATTTTCCTCATTATAATCCTTAATGCATGAAAAGTTTCATTTTTTCAAAACTCATCGACAAAGATCAGCTACAAGATTGTAAGTCTACATGAACCCTTCATCATCTTTTTTAATATATTCGATCAGTGCATACTATTTATGTAAGACATATTACTGTATTCAGCGGCCGCTCACACAAATTGGTCCGACCAAAATAGTTCCATCATGATAAGTAGATACAACATTATTGTTCATGGTAAGAGTAAAGTTGTGTATGTCATACGTTAAAGAAATCAAAAATAACGTCAAAATATTATTAGAAAGTCACTTTCCCCCCGAAATGCAAATAAAAAATATCAATATTCCTACGCTCGCTCCCTCCTCAGCCTTTTTTTTTTTACATGTTTGATAACAGAGAATATTTAGGTCATTCTTCGATTCATATCTTTTCACCGATGAATTGATCATATTACTATATCAACAATTGTATTAAGTACATGTTTATAGTCCGTTAATTATCATACAATTTCTTCTAAAAGAAAAAATTAATCATTCTGTGTGTGTGTATTATTAAATGACGTAATTTTCAATCCCTGGCCGGATTCTGCTCGTGTGTACACTTTGTAAACTGTAGGGTATGTGTGGCAAAACGAGAACTGCATGGTTGGAGATTCGGGTTCGTGTTGAAGTTCAGCATACCATTTTATATAGAACTTGAATAATGTAAGTAATTTCTGCGACGAATACGTTAGTATATTTCAGTAATTTTCAAAACAAAAAAGGTTTTCAGTTTAGAATTTTCCGACCCGGTCCTGATTTTCCTAACCCGGCCATTTTACGCACAAGTTGTTGCAGATGCAAATGTTAGAACAAACTATATATAGTTCAACAGGGATTGTATAATTTTTATTAATCAGAATTCGTATTCATATGATCTAATTAAGAAAAGAAAAGTTTTGTCTGCCATCGTAACTTCTCGGCAAAACAAAACGTGTTTCTCCGAGCTCGCTGGATGCGTTTGACAGCTCCATCGCACGTGTGTAGACCAAGGCTAATGTTGGTCTTGCGGACACAGGTACATGTAGGCCTATGTGTACTGTTTGTTAGGAGACTGGGTGACCGTAATGCTATGGACTCACGAAATTTACAACAGTTCCATAATTAGACAGTGCAGTTTTTTTTATTAACGTCATTATAAACACTGTTAAACATATTAAATCTAATAGTCGAATATCTTTGGATATGGGGTAACCCATATCTATTCTTGTTATGTCTGTTGTGATTTACATGTTACACCAACTGTAAACTTTTTGTAAAGTTGCTTGAGGGCGTATAGATCTGAGAATAAACGTAAATTTAAAATAAATACGAGTATTCTTGGGGTTCAAACCAAGGTAATAAAAATTATGTGTATCAATGTCTTCTTTTTTTTCATGCTAACCCACAGGCACATGTTTCGGTTAAAAAATTTTATTACATGTATTTTACTATGGTATGAGTTAATAAAAATTTATTTCCGACACAAGCACCTGTGTGCTAACCACTGCACTACATCAGTATTGAACTTCTGTGTTTACTGTTATAACTTATACACCTTGTAGGTAGTTATCAGTTATATTATTTCATTTCAATGTATACACTAGCATGAAAATTCCAAATGGGGGGTGGGAGGGAGGTGGGGTCCCAGTTAATGAATGAATGAAAACAATATAAGGACCTATTGTCATTTTATAACATTCTACATCTACGGCATATTTTTCGGAATTCCTTCTGGGTGATAACCTGATAAACTGACTACGACTTGACTTTAATTAAGGACAGATGATACAAAGAAAAATGGATGCCTGGATTGGTATTTACATGTATTCTTTTGGCCTGCTTTCATTGAAAATTATGCACATAATAAATTTATAGAATATAAAGAAATTGTAAACCTTCTATGATGTTCAAAATTCAGTCTCTTTGAACCTATCCTTATTAATCTATACAAATATTTTTCACTTAAAATCCCATTTTTGTGAAAATTTGAATAAAAAATAAAAAAAAAACTACGCTGTAAACATTGTTCATTTTATTGATTAAAACATGACAAGTTGCTATTTTCAAATTTAATTTTTCGACCAATCGATCAAAGTCTGTTTGTATCGTTTGTCCTTAATTACCGTTGGATCGAAAGTTTTGTCAAATCAATTAATTCAAAGGAAGAAGTTGGAGGGGTGTAAATTTTGTTGATATATTATAATAATACAGAACATGTAGTACTCTTTAGCCGTGCCCCTCCTACATTAATTACGTTTGATGACCTTTTGGCTACCTAGGGACCTTCAAGGCAAACACTTCTTGAAGATATTGTTCCATTACATTCAGCTGTTTTTCATAAAAGAAATCCCAAACCCTTTAACAGTCAAGTCATTCATTCAACAAACATACATTTTTACAATTTTCAAACAGTTTTATTCCTTTAAAAAATATAGTATTTCTAATTGTGATTTACAAATTTACTTAGAATTAAAAATACACTAATAAAATATATGCCTTTAGAAAGATACCCACATGCAAATACAAAATGCAACATGCATAATTTTTAAAACCAGTATAATATAATATAATAGTATAAAACCAGTATAATATAATAGTATAAAACTCCTGAAGATTGGAAATGAAACCGGTTGAGTTTATTTCGGTGTTGTGATATATATATATATATATATTAAGCTTTGGTGGCAGCGTGCCAGGAGAGCTCCTTGCTTTCGTTAAGTTTGGCCGTGTGTTGGTTATGGTGGACGAGGTCCCATTTCTTCATCCACGGACCCTGGATTGTGGTGTCAAAATCTGCGTCTTCTACATTCTGTTGGCGAGAAAATAACAAAAAGAATAACAGCAAGGAAACTTTTGAACTTTGATTTATATTTTATAGTGCTAGACGTAAATATTTTTCTTGAACCTGAAACAATACCATTACATGAAGTTATAAATGAATGTATATGTGTAAGCATGATTTCTCTTTCAGATTTCATTTTTTAAGCTTACAGGTTCACGTCAATGTGGACTATTTGCTATAACATCCCCACCCAACCGCAAAAATGATAACAAAAACTTAATCCGTATTTTATTAATAAACATGTAAAAGTATAATAGATAATTTTTAACCATGCAAATTTCCATTATTCAAGTTTCTGAATTCAATAATATAAAGTAAATGAAAAATATACATACTGGGGTATTCATTAGGGTAATGGCAAAAGGTAAGAATTTTGAACATAATAGAAAGTTTACAATTTTTAAAGGTTTTTTTCCAAACAACAAGTTCTGGTCTATAAACCTAACTTCTCTTAAAATATTATAGATAGCAATCGTTATTTACTTGTCTAGTAACTGAGATTTTATTGATTTTACCGGAAGTACGTCTTGGAGGTCTTTGACTGATTCCTTCTGTTTAGACCAGCGGTCATCTCCGTCAAAGCCTGTCCAGTCGATCTTATAGTCCGGATCCTTGGATGTCCGGAAGAGTAGGTGGTTCTTCATACCATAAAATCCGCAGGGCTGATCCGGTTTTTGCCAACGGAGGTCAAGACTCCAACGGACCTTGTCTGACATATTCGGCAAGCTGAATATTCAATTAATAATAATCATGTATACATGTATATGGCCTGCTTCTCCATTACTATACTCTAAAAACTTGTAAAATAAGCAATTATTCACACTAAGAAAGAA